AGTCATTGATTGTCATAATTTATGAATATAAAGTGTCTTTTGATTCTTTGTTGCTGAGTGAATGAGCTGTCATTGCTCCCAGTGGGGAAGGGTCTTCCCGTTTACAGATCTCTTACTCCTGGGAGCAGCCACTTTGTTTAACATGGTAGGCAGGAACTATACAGATAGGTCTTTCCACGTGGTGATTCTGAGTACAAGAAAGTTCTTAGACCCATTCTGATGGGAGTGGACTCTCCGAGTGGGATACAAGACTGACCATCTTGCACAGTATCCAGGCACTGAGAATAAGGGCCAGTCTCCTTCCCACCCCACATCCAGGAAGGTACAGGGAGTGAAGGTAGGCTTGAGGTCCATCCCTGGGCAATCCTAACCCTGTTTGTACATTGACCTTTGCTCTGTTCAAAGGAAACTGAATGACACTGAGTGTGATAATATGGGAAGGCAGATAAAGAGAGATGGAGCAGAAGCCAACCGGAAGGGATCTGGAGATGTATAAAAAACAGAAAGAAAAATATCCAGAGCTGGGCATGGTGGCTCACACCTATAATCCCAGCAACTTGGGAAGTTGAGGCAGGAGGCTAGTTTTGGGGCTAGCCTGGGAAATTTAGAGAGATTCTATTTCAAAATAAAAATTAAAAAGGGCTGGCTCTGTAGCTCATTCAACTGCCTTGCATGTGTGAGGGTTGAGGTTCAACCCCCCGTACAGGCAAAAAAAAAAAAAAAAAATCAGAATTGGGCCAAAATATAGAGGAACAGAGACAAAAACTAAAATGGAAAGAATGGAAAAGAAAGAGAGATAGAGATAGAAGTAGACAGGGAGGGAGAGAGAGAGGGAGAGAGAGAGAGAGAGAGAGAGAGAGAGAGAGAGAGAGAGAGAAGCAGAACAACTGTATCAAAGAGAACATGTAATGTTAGAGAAATATTGAGCAAAAAAAAAAAAGCACACATCAGAATCTGCCTTTGAGGAAAGGAAGAGTGGTATAATCAGGGAGTGAGAAAGACAGAGAGGCTAAGAATTATTAAACTTCTGAGCCTGAGAGTATCAGGATGCAAAGCTGTATTTTTCTCGGACAATAAATGCCTTCTCTGGCATCTCGATATTTCTCCAAAGACCATGCAGTTAGTGCTGACGGGCAGCTCTTTTGTTCAAAGATTTTGAGGAAGCCTGGACCTCACGATCATCAAATGGTGATTATTAAATACCCTTTAAAGAATCAAGTTTAGCCCAGTGAATTCAACTCATCCAGAGATCAGAGTTCTTACAGTGTGAGCCTCCGGAACCCAGCAGTAAACCTAGGAGGAGWAGCCAGAAAGATCTCTGTGCTGGTGAGGAATCTGTATCAGAACACAGGTTCCTTCCTATAGCAGAGGCCTTCATCTGTTAATTCTCATTAACAGAGTTCAGAAGCCGAGCTACCTCAGTTTGCAGGCAATGGAAGCTAAAGAAGAACAAACTGTGAAGGTGGGCTCCAACAGCCTGATGGACAGTGAAAACCTCGGAACTGGACACAGTGGGCAAAGCCCAGGTCTTGCAAGSGTGGTCTCAACAGCCCAGCAGACCTCTCAGATCCAGACCCCTTCCCTGTAGCATTTCACGGTTGCAAGTGATCGTAGAAATTTAATAKATAGAAGGAAACCTAGAG